TGATGAGCTAAGCTTGACACACTAAAGTCACCTCTATTTATATCCGCCCTGAACAGAGCTGGGGCTCGGGAGGTTTCCTTGGGACCTCGAGCTCCTGCTATGCTTAGGGCAAATATGAATAGAGGACTTCAATATGTAAAATGGCTACTTTAGAAAAAAATTAGACATTGAGATAACCACTTATTTTAGGTAGAAGGAATTTTGAAACTTTAAGAAGGTGACGGTTAGCATAAAGTAGCATTGAGTACTTGTGGCACATGTTTTTCCACTTCCTGTAGAATGACTACGAACGCGACATTCCAGAGTCTTAAGTCGGCCGGCTTAATGTTCGCTCATATTGCCATGAATAGGCTGTGAGCATGCGCTTATTGGTGGCAGCTGCGCGCTGGCGATCCGGGTCCAACACAATGCCCCGCTAATCCTATTATGGCAAGAATTCCGAGCGCAAACGTTTCATGTAAAAGACTCGTCAGCGGATGATGCTCTGCCGTTTGCAGATATGAGCAATTCGAATTGGAACGAAAGAAGAAGCGCGAACATGCACAAACAAAGAGACGAGTACCGCCGCCGTACATTTCCATCAAGGACACCATTAAAGAGACGACGGTTGTCGTTCCTGACATCAAGGTGAGGACATTCTAATTTTTTATGAGCGCCATTAGCTGTCTTTATTTTTATTACTATATATTTAAGTTTGGTTTTCTTTATTTTGAATAGGTTTTGTTCATTTTTTCCCAAAAGAGTTCCATAGATGTTCAGGGTGTTCCATAAATACTGCATTTTGCAAACTCTTTGAGCTTCAATTGTGTGGGTGTCTGTAGTCTTTTTCCCATTGGCATACCTTCACTTCCTATAACCTCTTGTGAATAACCTTGCCAAAGTGCACGGCTTACCATTCGTTGTACATCTCATGGTGCACCTAAACCTCAAAGAGGTCCTAATCCCTCATACAGCTAGGTCGGACATCCGGTGATGAACATCGCGCTTCTTTGGATTTTCAACCGCTCCTTGGCCTACCGTGTACTGAAGAGAAGACCAATGAAAAGTCTTTGTTGCGGCCGCCCCACAAGTTCTGACATCTTGGATCTCAGGAAAAGCATGAAGAAGCGAAACGACTGCAATACCCGGGTTGGCTCGAGAAAGGTGACCAGAACGCTGGAGTTTCTAAACACAGTCATGTAGAGTTCGATAACAACTGCTCACAGTCCATTATAAGTTGCATAAGCACCACTGCTCAATCCAACGGGAGGAGCACAGCAGAGACAAAAAGTTCAAAGAGCTGGTGTCGAGGGCCGAAAATGGCGATTACGCGGAGCACCGTTTTCATCGACGACAAAATTCGCACATAGAGCGGAGGAGCCATCCCGAGGAAGTGCGCCGCACGAGATCCTAAGGAAGCCAGTGAGAGGGAAAACAATAATCGCCATAAGCACAGCCAAACTTTATCAGCGATTTGGGCAAGGGTTTCAATCACCGGTCGCTCACCACAACTCTCTGTTGAAGAGCGAATAAAACTCGATACAGACCTAGCCAACCGAATGTTTCAATGCACCTTCTGTTACTAAGGTATCTTGCTACTTCAAAGAGGAGTGAACGTCAGCCTTCTGCAAGGGGGCAAATTGTTTAAGGACTGGTCTCATGATACTGTTCCCGATTTCACATCCTCAAACGAATGGCTCTCATATCTCTCGATTTCAACCTGCTGGACCATCCTATTTGGGCTATATTAGGGGACAGGAGCCTGCACTAAACAATGCGTCCAGAAAAGAGAGAGCTGAAGCCTTTTCTCTAGAAAGTTTCGAAGAAGGCACTCCAGGATGCCATGCGGGAAACACTAGAGTTGTGTTCGAAGCAACTGGAAGCCATACTCACAGCGACAGGGGGACTTATCGAATAAATGTCATTCCTTTCAACATCTTAATGACTGGACTAAGAATTGTGTGTGACCACTTGAGAAAAATTACAAGAAACGTGTTGCCAATATTTGTGGAACACCATGTACAAAAGGCTCAAACATCGAGTCGCGTAAAATTACTTCGACCTCACCCATCACTACGTATCCTTATTATCTCCTATGCTCACCCCCGAAAATACTGTCGATTTAGAGGGCGAGTGAAGACAGCAAAGATCCTCTAAACCCTTCAAGGTCATCCTTTTTGAAAGGAACTTGATAAAAATGTTGTACGACCCGTCTCAGAAAGTCAAATCGACTATTCTCCCACGCAGGTTGACATAGCGATGAATGAATGGCCGCGGCAATACGACATCCCAGCTTGAGGAGCTTAGTACTACCCCTTCCGTCAACACGATTACTTATACGACCTCCTTTGTTCACCCTCTGTTCATGTCAACAGTGTCGTTAAACCTGACAAACCTTCAGTCCCGCCAGTAGATTCTTTCGTAATTACCCGTCGAGCGAGGGGTGGGTGTTTAAGTTCCTTTTGAAACATCGCGTTTCATATTTTACGCCCTGCTACCTATTCGTCATTGTCTTATTCTCTACGAGGCACGGTGGTACCGTTTACTGTAGTGATTGGGCTAGGTAGACTGCGATGTTTGCGGACAGCGGTAGTTTTCACCCACTTTTTCAAAGATGGAGGGCACGATAAATTGTGGGTTGGAGAAGAGCAAATGTGCCCATTGTGAAGAAATTCCCAATCCCCAAGGAAGCAAAACATGGCGATCACGAGCGAAAGGCGCGCCCGCAACAGGCTGGCAAGGCCTTTTCCCTTCCCCTTGAAGACTGCACGCCTACCATCTGGCTACATCTGGCGAAGTTCCCTAACCGTCGGACTCTAGCCGTTTCAGTAGTGAGGCAGAGCAGAGCGCGCATTTGATGATATCTGCACCGATGTGATTTGCCCAACAGAAATCAACAGGGAAAATAAGGGTCCCGCTCATTAGATTTTAGGCTATTTCTTAGTTTTTTCTTTACCCCTGCATCCTTTATCGTCGCTACCGCTCATTTCCGGCGGCGATCAATTTTCCGTGCCATCTGTCTTTAAAGATAGTGAGTAGGATAAAGTCTGTCTGCTCCGGGAAAGTGAACGCGCCCGTAGAATGGCAGCCAGTAAGCAACGCAAGCGAGATCTGGCGTTTTCGCGCCGGAATGTGCGATCGTTGCAGCACAGTAACGCTCCAAAGCCAGGAACTGTGTCGCCTCCTGTCTTCTCGCTCATAGAAGGACTCTTGTGATATTGTCATGATTATTTTGAGAGTTTCCATTTTGAGTATTGCATTTCAGTCCAAACAATGTTCTTCTTATAATCTTCTCATATTCACTTATTTACTTTTATTGAATCTCCTTATATCGTCTGTTATGTTCTAATAGGGAATCCTCACATAAACAGCCAGTATCTCACCGTGAACTCGGTTCAGAATCAACGAGCAAAGAGAGGGTCCCATTTCTGTAGTTTTTTAAAACTTTTTCCTATTTTTCTACTCGGACCACGTTGGTCTTCCTCTCCCATAGCGTTCGTTCCCGCGCAGTACAGATATTTGCATCTCTCCCTGACTGAATTCTGAATCTTACCCTGCATCGTCATTTATCTTGATCAACAATCTAATGAATTCACATTCTTAGACTGCCTTTTAATGAATGCAACGCGTTTCCGCACGAATTGCGCATATAGCACCTGTTGTCGCTTCCGCCCCCCCAAAGAATTGATCTTTGTTTATAATAAAAAAGAAAGTATTTGACGGGGTTTCAAATACGCTGCTGCTGTGCAATGCCTTCGTTTCTTGCGATAGCGGCTGAATGCGTTTTATTCAGAGTGGTTCCGTTCTTCTATCGGTTCCTTTCTCCGAGTCCTTGAAATAAAAGTGAGCAAAGTGCACTTTCAGCGCCCTTTGATTTATTTTTTGGTTCTGTTCAGTGTTAGATCGTTTTGAGAACCAGATGGGGTCAGGGTGAATGCGGCGACGGGGAATTTTTATACTTGCTCGTACTTGAATTTTTGTTGTCTGGCTTTTTTTTCGCGTGGAAAGCGCTTGTTAAGCAGCGGGCAACTTCATTGTTCATTGAAAAAATGTTTTTGAACTTCTGATTGTTCTGCTTTTCTTTAACTGTGAGGAAATTTCTCCCATGTTTCTTAATGCTATCAATTTCTATGCCATATATGGACGTTTCCGGGCTTGCAATTATCTTCGCATTCTTTTCTAACCGATTTCTTAGTAAATCTGAAAAACACGAATGTCTTTTGGTGAGGTGGTTTTTATATTTAAGACAGACGAATATCTTTTACATCGGCCTCGTTATCGTTAGTGATGATTCGCCCCACGTTAATGGCTACTTTGCGAAATCTGATCAAAATTATTTAGCATCTGTCTTTGTATATTCGTGAACTAGGGGTTACCCATTAACTCCGTTGCTCCCTTTCTCATTCGTTTAGACGACGGCGGTTTTGAAAGGGAGGCATGCATGGCGCATAAAGAAAATAGTCGACTGTAAACATCTTGTCCCTGTGACAATGCGAAGCGCGCTGAAGTTTGCAGTAGTCTTCTATTAGTCAATCGAGTGTTGCGAAGTGAAAAACTCAACCTAGCAACATATTTTCTGCAGGCGAGAGGAAGACTTCGTTCCATAAGTTAGATACAAAAGAACATTCTTGCCCGGCTTTTATGAGTTGCAAGTATACTTCCATGTCGTGACATTATGATACTGAAATATCCTTAACCCTCAATAGTGCTTGCGAAGCGATCACGTATGAAGTGGAGGAGCTGCTGTCGAACAACCTCCCACGCACAACTAAGGCATAGTTTATGAGTCGGCCAAAACCAGTTTCACATTGCTGCCTTCAGTTCGGTACAGAATGTATCCTGTTGTCCGCTGCAATGCCGATGTGCTGCATTGAAACTCCTGTGTAATCAGTTGTTTCTTGCCATAGGCGATTCAGTGAACACGACATCAAATGTTTTGGAATTAAATACCGGTATTAGAAGGCAAATTTTCAGATTTCCAAGTCCTCTAGGGGGGATTGCCTTGCACGTTGTACGATCTTGATCCTTTGATCTTTTCACTTTATCCACTTGTCAGTTTTGTTGAGACAGAGAAGTGCTCTGCGCAGTTGAGGTTTGAATCTCCCACCGCGGCTCTCTCAGTAACCCCGACCCTTCTCCATGGACAGTTCTGTTAACGTATTACGCCGGCCTTATTGGCAACGTACTCTTTGTTCACCAGAATTTAAACATTGAATTCGCGTTGTAAACACATCGTGGTATTTATTTATTCATTTATTTACTTATTTGTTACTTATGTTATTTGATTTATATTTACTTTCAATATCACTCAAAGGTGAGCACAGTCACGGGAAGAGTTATGAGCGAAGTTAAAACAGTTGTTTCAACAAGGTTATACACCTGTTTTAGGCCTATATGACAAGAATGTCCGGGTTTCTGTCCTATCAGACAAGTTTTGTACCGGATAACCGACCCAGGAGAAATGAGACTTTCGTGATCTGGGAGGGACTTGATCCAGGATGTGAGCTCTGAACCGTGTGTGCTAAGCGACGCCACTTGTTACCGCCCTACATTATTTTCGCCCACTACTTATACGTATAAGAAGTGAACCCAATCTTATGCGGGCCTGTTGAACAAATATTCAACTTTTATTATTACTTGCAAAT